GGGGCTTTTAAACTTCATACAGGGGTGCGACAAGGATGCTGTCTGTCACCACTATCTATGCATGGCATGGACCCATTAGCACAAAGAATAAGCAAAAATAAGGCCATAAGGGGAGTCAAGATACTGGGAGGGGGAGGTAAAATGTGTCTGGTACATGGATGATATCAATGTAGTAGCTAGAGAGACACTTTTGATGGAAAGGGTGCTAAAACATACATCAAAGTACGGAGAAACGATGGGAGAGAAACTAGAAATCAAGAGATAGAAAAGACTGATTAGGTCATCTTGCCCACTTTGTCCTCCCCAAGTGGCGCGGGCCTCTATCACAGAGATGAATTCCCTTCTGATTACATCAGTCTGTGAGGGGTGCTGTGCTCTGTCTGGAAGGAATGGATTGCAAGGGCTAGGGGCTCTCTGCTCAAGGGAAGGGAAGACAGACCTGTAGTATGCTGTGCCTGGAAAGCAGTGACTAGGCTCTGCCTTCATTGCTGATGGAGCATGTGGGATTAACTGTCTCTGCAGCAACCCCAGGCACTCCTGGTCTGTGCAGAGGGGGAGATGGCAGCTACCATGGCTGCTCACTTGCTTAGTGTGCTTTCTCTGATGCAAGAAACCCCACATGTGGTAAACGCCACCAAGACTTTGGAAGAGAGTTACTTCTATACTGGCCAGACTCCCGGAGAAAAACTGGGGCCAGTCAGTGTGCATCCCTGCTGGCTGAAATGGTAACGTCTCAATACACAAGGAACCTTCTCCCAGGCTCTCATTTCTCTCCCACCAACTTCTGCCCTTTTACTATCGCTCTTGCATGCTCCATCCTCTTGCTTCCCCTGCATGAAGGGGCTGTGTCAGAGGCTGCCTTGCCCTGTGTCTACGGTGCAACAGAAGACTTCAAAGTGAATTCAACCAGGTTTAGCAAGCTTCCCTTTCCTGTGGTGCCCCTGCTGTTCTCTGCAGCAACCTCCAAGAGAGTCGGTGCCAACGGTAGTCCGCTTCACCATGTGTTTGTGTACTGCCATAGGGCCCTGATCTGGCTTGAGGCCTTTGGCACTACGGTAGCATTAATAATAGTTGCTGAGTTTCCCTTTGTAAAGTGCTAAAATTCTAGGACATTTCTGCCTCCCTTCCAGCTCCCAAACTGAGCATTTATTTGGCCTCTCCAGTTCTGGAAGGAGCCATAAAATTCATCTTCCCGGTGGATTAATTTAATCAAATAACAAATTTCCGTTTTGAAAATACAGAGGTGAGGGGGATTTTAAAACAGGACCATATATTATCTTTGGGGCAAAGACTGTGCCTTCTTGTGGAAAGTGCACAGCACATTTGGGACTGCCATAGCATAAATTACAGATGACAGTAATAAAAGAGAGCATTCCAAATGCTTGAGATACAGGATCATGGTCCAGCCAGAGGACTTGGAGAAAACATTAAAAAAAAAGTCTAAGTCCTATTTTCAAAAGTAATATGTACCTTTTATGAGCCTAAATCTCCTGACTTTCAAGGAGACTTAGGCTGTTAAATACCTAGGGCAATCCTTAATGAGGGTGCCATGATACCCTGGAGTGCTGTGGGATCTTTTAAGAGTGCTGTAGGATGCTGCAAATGTTACAGCGGTTAGGTGTGCAAACACCTAAGCCTAAAGAGGTGTGCCTTGAGTCTAAAAAGGTTGAGAATCACTGCTCCGAGTCATTTTTGAAAATGGGATTTATAAGCCTAAATCACTTAAACTACTCCTTGTTGCATATCTAGGGGGAAATTGCCTTCCTGGTGACATGATGGGGGAGCAGCCTGTAGCTCCTAGCAGTCTCAGAGGGAGTTGTGTGTGCATCCAGAATGGATGGGTTGGAGGTGAAGGGCAAGCAGAGCCAGCCAAATCTAGGAATTTCTGTTTTGTTCATCATTTAGACATCTCGGAGTTTGTCTTGGTTTTGATTCAGATAGAAATTCAAAATAAAAATGTGCGTGTGTGTGGGATACTTTGTTCAGAAAAGAAATTTCAGAAGGTATGTATAAGGCTCAACAATTTGTTTAAAATTTATTTTCTTTTATGTTTTTAATTTTCTTATATTTAGCTTATTTCACAACATGTCAGCAGTAATGTGACATGCCGTGTCATAGCAAATCATGTTGTATTATAATGTACGCTAAAGGTAAAAATATTCTGTAATTTTATTTCTTAAACCTTCAGGGTAGCTGCTACTTAGTACAGATTGAAACATCTTATGTTATTTTAGAGATCAAAGCATGTCTTGTTTGTGTTGTAATGAAGTGTCAAACTGTTTCATTAAAACACACACACAGGAGACACTTTGATCTACGAAATAAGATATTTCAGTCGGTACTAAGTAGCAGCTGCCCCTTATATTTTTTAAAAATTAGAACAATAGAATATTATTATTACATGACACATTATGTTGTATGAGTATTTAAATTTCCAGGTTATGGCATCCTGTGGTATATATTACTCCTACTGAAATGTCATGGAACAAAAAATAAATTAAAACAAGTAACTTATTTTGAAAGAAAAAAAATCAAATTGTTAACAAGAATTTTCCCAAACAATTGTGTACATTTTCAGGAAATTAGTTTTTACGAGAAATGCTGTTGCAATCAATACAATTCAGCCAAAGAAAGGCAATTTCTTTGAAACTGTACTTTTGAATAGAAACTTGTTTGACATAACAGAATCCTGTTTCACCTAACGGACAGCCAGACAGGAGCTTGAGACTAATTCTGAGTTACCCAACTAAACCATGGGAGCAATTCTATTACCTCCTCTGGGAATTTAAGTGCCCCCTTGATAGACATAGGTAAATATCTGAGTGTCTCCAGAGGGAGATCCCACTCCTGTCATAGTGACATTTATGCATCCAAAAGGGTAATAGTATCTATCACTCCTGCACTTTAGTTGGGTAACTCAGAGCTGGTTGCAAGCTGCACTTTGGTCATCCACTAAGTGAAAGTGGATTCTGCCTGAGCAAAACTTGGGAGATGTCAGCTTGGTTCCCAGGTCGTTTGGTGCTTTTGCTTCTCCTGCCACCCTTTGTCTGTTCAAACATATTACTCTTCAGGGTGGAACCTGCCTCTCCTTTTGTGTCTGTATAGCAACCAGCCCAGTAGACCCTGATCTCAGTTTGGGTGCCTATGCAGGATTGTAAATCTATGAATGAGTTACCAAGGTGACCCTCCTCTGTTTTATTCCAGGCCCAGCGCTGGCGTAATGAAAACTATGAGAGGCCTGTGGACCTGGAAGGGTCCGGGGATGACGACCCCTTTGCTGATGACGAAATGGATGATCTCTACTCGGGGTCTGGTTCGGGGTGTAAGTAAAGTATAAAGAGAAGGGGACCCAAGATCCCAAAGCTGCATCCTGGGAACTTTGCCATTGACTTCAGTGGGACTAGAGCTGGGCCCAGTAGGTGACCAGTAAATCTGGAAAGGAATTAATTTGTATACTACCCAGCCCCAGAAGAAAATTCTTGATCCCATATCTATGTTGTCATAGACATATGCCCTCTACCAAGCTCAAGGAGCTCATTTCCATGTGGCTAGGTTCCCCAGCTGGCATCCCATCCCTTGTCTTAACAAACCAGCCTTGCACCTCTGCAGGTGGACAGTATTTAGCAGGATGCACTGGTCCTAAGAGCCAGGCTCTGCCTTGAGGATGCCTGGCAGCCTGCGCCCCATCCTCTCTCTATAATGAGACATTGGAGTTATGCTTGCTGGCTTCAGGGTGCAGAGCAGAATGGAGGGCGTTTGCTTTGCTCAGGCTTCTGGACTTTTTTGGTTGCCACATGGGGCCAGGAAATATATATTTTCCCATCCCGTTGCTATAGACATGAGGGTCTTTTTCACCTTCCTCAGAAACATTGGGTGTTAGCTGCAGCCAAAGGTAGGAATTTAAACCCCCTCCACTCAGGATCAGACCGACTACCACGTTTGGGATCAGGAGGGAATTTTACCCTATGATCAGATTGGTACGGAGTATGAGGGAGGTTTTGGCTTCCTCTGCAGGGAGGGGCATGACCTTCTTCCTTGGCTTTCTCAAGTGTATTTTAACAACCCTTACAATGGCAGGACACTGAAAGCCCTTGTCCCCCTGCTTTACCTGTAGCATGTTTGGGTGCCTTTGGTGTCTTTAGGCTATATGCCTTGCAGTTGTGTGGCAGGGTTGATTGTGCAGTTTTAAGACCAGTTTGTGTAGTTTTAGACAAGGACTTGTAGGGTATGATTTGGATAGGGATGATTATGCCTGATTAGGTCCAGAGAGTTGAACTAGATAACCTCCAGAGGTCGAGGCTAGCCAGAAATCCTAATCTCACTTCTGGGGCACACGACCATGACTTCCTGGGGTAAAGCAGGCTTGGTTCACCTAGGGCTTTGGTTGCGAGGTAGCACGTTCACAGCCCTCACTTGTTCTTTCATGTAGATTTTGAGCAGGAGTCGGGGATCGAAACAGCTGTGAGTCTCACCACGGACACTTCCATCAAGCTCCCCACCACTGCAGCAGTGCTGCCTGTCACATCTGTCCAGCCGGTGGCAACTCCCTTTGAAATGTTCCCAGCAGAAGAAACCACCCCGGAGCAGGTGACCAGTGTCTTGTATATCCCCAGGATGACAGAGGCACCAGTGAGTCCCACCTGGAAAGCAACTACCACCAGTACTACTGTCAGCATTACCCCTATTATCGCTACAGCTGCTACCACTGCTGCTGCTGCCGCCGCCACCACCACTACCACCGCAGCTCCCACTGCCAAGTCAACCACCACCCGGAGGATCCTGCCCCACTTTGTCACAACGACAGCTACAACACAGGCCACTACCTTAGAAACCCCAACCACAGCTATGATGGAAGTCAGCATGGCAACAGAAGCCACCACATCCCGCCTTGTCACCACCAGTGCCGCAAGGCCTAGATCTGTGCCAAAACCGAGCACCACCAGGACCACGGACTTGACAGAGAAAAGCACCACGCTGCTGCCTGCTGCTGCTACTGTGGCACCTACAGAGGCACCTCAGGTATGAGACCAGGGCTTACAAGCTGCTCCACTGAAAGGCTGGATGATTAGTGGGCATTAGCTGAAGTTCACTGAGGTCAGTGGAAGGACTCCTGTTGACTTCAGTGGCCCATGCCCATCTGCAAGAAAATGGTGTGAAGTTGACAGGGAATGGTGGGATAGAAATTCAGTTTAGGGTAACTCGGCAGTGGAAAGGCAAGGACAAATCAGGGGGATCTCAGAAGGGAGCCACAATAAACCCGGGGACCCAGGGGGCTCAGAATTCAGGAGTCAAGAGAGCCACAGTATGAGACAGTACAGGAGGATAGCATGGGCTGGGACTGAGCAAAGAAGTGCAGAGTGCCCCGTGGATGACATTTCCAAAGGAAAAATCAGGTGTAAAGGGCATCCAAGGGCAGTGGCAGATGCTTCCCTGCTTGAGTCCCTTAAAATCCACCTGGACAAAATACTTGACCGCATCCTAGATGTGGATGGGCCATAACTGCTAATGAAACATCAGGGAAATAGGTGCTTTGGCAATGTCTGAGCCACAGGAGAGAGAGAGGTTTATTTATCTGAAATGCAACAGCAAGGATGTCAGAGATCCTCCCCTAAGGGGTTAGGCACCTGTTTTGCACTTGATTTGCAGCTTGGAGTTAGGTGATGTAGCTGCTTCTTTCCAAATCAGAAGGTGGGTAACTTTGTTCTTTGGGAAGGATAAAAGGTACCTCCTTTTTCATCCAGCAGCTCCACAGTTAGAGTATTTGCCTTGTCTGTGAGGGACCTGACATTTATTTACCAGCCATAGGGCATTCAAGCACTCATCTGCTGCCTTCTAGGAGGTTTGCAGCCACTTCCATGCACTCGCTGGAAAGAGTCACTGTGAAAAAAATAGAACGAAAGAGTCATTGGGCCAGAAGAGAGAGCAGGGGCTCCTGACTGAACCCAGCTGAGGGGTACTGTGCTGGGAGAGGAGAAGCCTGAGTTTTCATCCCTGCTTCCACATCTGTCTCTGGAACTTAGCCAATGACTGTTTAATGCTATAGTACTGAAGGATGTGCTCTAACCACTGCACTATTGGAGAAAAGGGGGTCTACTTCTCTCAAACATGTTTTTGAATAGAAATGATGGTAACTGCCATGGCTTGCACAGAGCTCAGTTCTGCTGGCGCAGGTGCTGGGTATGCTGAGCACTCCTACTGAGATTGGGCCTTTAGCTCCTGCATCTTGATTGGGTTTAGGAGTATAATAGGCACTAAATTGCTCAATCCTGCCAAGAGGGTGCCCGAGTTTGTGCAGAGGTTTATGGATTTAGGAGGTTTACTGGTTTTCACTGGCTTGGGCTTCCCAGGGGTTTTGAGGATCACTGTGTTGGAAGATTCCTAAAGCCTTCCTTGCATAAGCAGGGGCTTGAACTTGGGTTTCCTGGGTCTTAGGCCAGCTGCATAATCACTAGACCAATTTTCTGCTCAGTTTTATTACTCTAGGGAATCATTTTGCATTAGCAGGATCATGTCCTCTTAAGTCATACAGTTTCTTCCACCTCTAATGCTCAATTCTCTGACCTTTCATAGTGTTTTGCCACTATAGTTATACCAGAATAGCTAAACTGGTAAAATCCCACAAATATGGATGTAGCTATCCCGCTTCACTCTGAGGGCCCTGCTGGAGATAATACTATTTGTTTCTTAGCCATTGCTATTATGCCCAGAGCTGTGTCATTCACAGCAGATTAGGAGACTTCTGCAAGCCAAGCATAGTCATATAGTTAGGAGAAAATGTTAAAGAATCCCTGTTACAGGACCAGGCAAACTGAGGAAGCCAAGCATTTTCTTTTCTAGGAGCCTGGTTTATGCAAAGATTGTGTCCATATACAACCATGTTAGTTTGGGGGCAGCTTCTTACCCATAGACTTACATCAGTACAATCCTTATTAAAGAGACACTTATATTGGTATGAAGGTGTCTGTGAAGAGTCAAGTTAATTCCCTCTCTCGTGTGTGAATAGCTCTCCTGGCCTAGGCACCTCTTTATACCAGCATAGCTGCATCAGAACTGGAAGGCAATGGTTGTATTGGTTTGACTGTGCCCAGGCAACTGTAAGTGTCACGCCATTTGTATATAGACAAGACCTTCAGCACAGGGCTCAGGGCTGTAATGGGCACTGGCTTGGTGCTCAGGAGTGGATTTCACCTTGAAGTCATAACTGGCAGGGTTGACTCCTGCTCAGAAATGCAGTGCCCACTGCTCCCAGGCTGGCATTTGCAAAGGAGGCAGTTACAGTACTCAGCTCCCACTCAGGTGAGTGCCTGTCTCCCCTGAGGATCCCAGCTTGGGAGCAGGGCAAGCGTTTCTGTCCATGCTGCCAGCAAACCACTTCCCTTAAGATGCACGAAACACTGCCACTGGGGAGCTGCTTAACCACATTCAAATAATAATGTAAAACCCCTGCACATCCCTCCCCTTATCTCTCTATCCATTTAATCCCTTTATCCTCATGTTCAGCATTTGTCTGAGGAGAAGCTGTCCATTGAGAAGTGAAGGTTTCACAGTGGGATTCAGCAACATGCATTTTGCCAAACAGAAAAAAATACAATGAAGCGTATGACTTTTTAAATTTAATGACCTAATGATTAATCTTTGCTTAGTAAAGTTGTGCATCAAAGGGGAAGCCTTCCAGAGGTAGGAGTCTCCTCAAAGGTTTGAAAGGGGCCTCCTGGAGTCTTGTCCCTTGTGTTCTCAGGCAAGCACGGGTCCAAATCAGTCCCCAAGACCATCTCTTGGTTCTGGCCCCAACCCTTGCAGCTTTTCTGTACCTTTAACTTATCATTCACTGGATACAAAAAAACCCCAGCAGTGAGATAGTGCTCTATTTGGGTATAGGGGCCAAGACCCCATGTCTCCACGGTGGCATCCTTTTCACTGGGTCTCAAATTTCGTTCCTTCCTGGTTGCCCAGTGTGCCAGTTTCAGAAGGGCCTGGAGGGGGCTGTGGGCAATTTCTAGCCCCTGGCCAGGTGGTGAGAGTACTTTGCTGGGGAATGAAAGGTGCACGTTCAAATCCCCTGTGGGTGAGACCCTGGAGCTTGGGGCGCTCAGTCTGTGGACATGTGCTCTAACTGCTAGGCTGTAAGCCTGAAGGGCACCGCCACCTCCTGTGTTGTATCTCCCCTAGTCAGGGCTCTTCTGCAGCTGAGGTTGGGGGCAACACAGGGTTATGTTTGTACCCAGGTGATTTTGTTCTACCTCAGAGCCTATTCCGAGCCTGTTCTGGGTGTAGTTGTACAGCTGTATGTAGGAGCCAAAAATTGCAGTTACATGGCTATGTAAGTGTCACTGAGGTGTAGGACTTAATAGGACTTAGCTTTCGTCTCTTATTTCACTTTTCTTCCCTAGTTGTTTCTTATTATTCTTTTACTTCCAGGGGTAGGCTCTAAATTGCCTCTTACTTAGTTATTTGGGAGTGCAATTGCAAGGGCCATTTCTGAATGGCCGAATTTGGGTTGGTGACATTCATTTCTATTGAAAAAAAAAGTCTCAGGGCAGGCAGGGCACCATCCCCACCTCTATGTTTTGCTACAAGTAAGGGCCAGACTAATCCCAGACATGCTGACATTTATCCTCAGATTGTTAAACCATAAACGACAGAGTCAAGGAGAGAACGTACCAGCCTTGCACAAGGCTGACCTGGTTTTTATCACCACTGATTTGGTTCAGGCGAAAGCTTTCAAGGGCTCATACGCTAGCACAGACCTCTGCTCCTGTGTTATTCATTATCTTTTGCCCTTTACACAACAATGAAAGTATGATGTACTGCACCAGCAATCCAGGAACAGTGGGGCTCAAGTAGCCATATTGGCTAGCTGTACAAAACTTGTAAGGCCCAGCTACAAATACACACTGCAGCTCTGAGTGGTATATCTCAGACACAGTGGGCACCACTAGTGGGTTCACAGACTATTTGAAGGGGTAGTATCTTATTCCTCTGCTCTTTCCCTTTGTCTCTGGGTCTCTGCCATCCCCAGTGCCCTTCTTGATCCATTTGCCCCCTTGGATAGATCACATTTCTGTGCAGCTTCCAGTTGCCTGGTTGGTGTTTTGGAGTCACCTGTTGAATGCCTTTTGTAGCCAAGCTCTGTCCAAGGGAGAGTGGGCAGCAGGTTAGGATGTCACCGCAACACTTCCCAGTCTGTCCCTGCATGGTGTCTCCCAGAAACAGGCATGCAGCGTAGTTCTGCCTGGTAGCAGTGGCATTTTGCTCCAGGCTGCCACTGCCACAGGGTGAAACTGTGCCCTGTTCAGCTCCCAGAAGCTTCCTGAAAACACGTATGTGGGGCAATTTCCCCCAGCCACGGCGGCAGAAGCATCTTTGGTCACAGCACCCCTGGCAGATTCTCGCAGCAGCTTGGGATGCTGCAGCACCCCAGTTGAGAACCAGTGGTCTGGAGATAAAGGATGGGAGGGGAAACAGAGGCACCAAGAAATGCTGTGACTTACCTGAGGTCACATAGTCACAATGCTAGAACCAGGACCTGGGTCCCAGAGCTGCTAGCTTGAGTCCCTACCTGCTCAAAAGCACTGGGGGATGGAAGACAAATGCCGCTGCACTGCACCAGCTCGAGTCTCGTGTGGGTTGTAGAGAGAGAGAGAAAGAGAGTGTGTGCGAGAGTCTCTCCTCTGTATTTTATAAGCTCATCGTACCATCATCTACTCACTACCTGGCAATTCAGAAGCCCAAATACTCCACAATTATGCATTTATGGTGTTTTTCCTGCCCATCGGGTATCATAAGCAGGCAGGGGGGGATTTCATCTACTGATGTATCTCTGATTCAGAGGCCTTACGGGTCTGCTCAAGAAGCGCTTTGACTGAAAGGTAGAGTTATTTGTTTAAACTAGTTCTTTTTTCCATAGCTCTGGGCTCCCTCTGACCTTCAATTAATCTCTGTCACAAAAGGATAGCAACAGTGTGCTTGTGGCAAGCTAGTGAGCCATGCAGCACATTCAAAAGGCAGGTCCGTGAAGGGATGGCTCTAGCATTGCCTTATCTAGCATGAGAAGGCAGCCATACTCATCTTGAGGCCTGGAGCCCGAGTTCTGCACAGGAAGCCTAGTTAGGCACTGTGGTCCCTGATAAGTAATGCAAGGGAGGAGAGAAGGAGTGAGAGCATTTAGTATCTTGGTGCAGGGTGTTGCAGCAGCACTGGGCAAGATCAGTCATGGTGAGAGCCATGGGATTTGGCCTGTCGAAAGCCAGTAAGTCAACCTGTAGTGGGACCTGATGCATGAGTCCAGCTGCAGCTCAGGCCTGCAGAGTGCCAGTGGGCAGGTCAGCCTGCAGAAAGGCCTGCAGCAGGGAACTGGTAGGTAAGTTAGCCTGTAGGATTGGGCCCAGAGGGAGCCTTAGGTAGGCTGGTTTACAGGACTGGTCAGTCTGCAGGTACAAAGCCAAACCAGGTCCAAGTTGCATAGCTTGAATCCACCTCTGAGCCTCAGTTCAAGTGTGTGGCAAGGTGCAGGGGCCACTAGCAAGGCACCAGCAAACAAGGTTGTGGTCCCACCATCACAACACATGGGACTGAGTGGGAAGAAAGAGGAAAGAGAAACCCCTTTCAGGAAGGTTGGGCTCCCCAGGCAGGGGCATGGGCACGGACAGGACTGGACCCAGGCTAAGGAGTTTTTTGATGACACCAAACTCCTGAACGTACTTCTCAAAGACACTGATGTGTCATGGGGAGGTGACCTGGTAATCTACCCCATGAAGGCAGAAACAGGGCTCACAAAGAGTCAGTAGCCCACCAATCCTGCCTGGGAAACAGAAATTCATTCTATGATCTCCCTGCACAATTCTTCCCCAGGGTGTTTCACTATGCACAAATGCAGGAGCCCTCGCTGCCTTTGCAGTTTATATCATCAGGAGCTGGGAGCTCATAAACACCATGGGGCAGACTCATGGTTGCCTGTGGCAGGGAAGAGAGGGTACACAGATTTCCTCATGGTCCGCAGGTCGTAGTTGCTACCGGAAAAGAGGCGACAAGATCAAAACTTTGTCCACACTTAGACAGCCCCTGGGGATAACACAGGTAAAACACACCAGTTTCTGTAGCTGGCAACACAGTGTAGCTAATACCATGCCCAGTTAGCTGCCCTTGACTGCTCATACCATTTACAGCTGGGTAAATTGGGGTCAGTCTTCAGCACAAGTCTGGATGAAGGCTTGAACTCATGCCCCTGGATCTGCCTGCAGAAGCCTTAGCTTAAGAAATAGAGCTAGCTGAGATTATTCAACTGCAGCCTTTCCCCACCATTATAGGGGGTTTGCCCAGAAAGAAAACATGGGAAAATATCATTTTAAACCACTTTTTCAATGGGAATTTTCAAACCAAAATTTTTTGTTGCATTTCATTTTGAATCGAACCTTTTAATTTGGTATTAGAATATGTCACTTTGTTCCTCTTTATCATTCCTCTTTTTTTCCCCTGTTGTGCCACTGGCAACAACAGAAGGAATGATGCTTAGATTTTTTGCCCCATTTCTCCTTTTTCATTCTTAGCCTCTTTTTCAGAGCAACTACTTTAACTTTCTCCAACCTTGAGAAAGTCCTTGAGTGGCAGCAGTGCAGCATTTTCAGTTTTCCTTTTGCTGTTGGGTCACTTTTTTGAGTTAGAAGAAGTTTAACATGCGACAGCATGGACAAAAGGGAGGAGAAAAGAAAAGGCAGAAAACCCTTGACATTTTGCATTTTATTGCTCTGAATGGCAACAAGGAAAATGCCTGGAGGGCATGAAAATGCCAATCTTGAAATATCCAAATGCATCAGAAAATTGGGGAAAATTTCTAAAGCACAAAAATGGCTTCACTTTGGACTCGAGGAAATGGAAAGATTTTTTTTTCCCCCACAAAATTGTTCTTCCTTGCTCTAGATCTAATGGGTGATGGACAGAGAATCCATTGGTAGAACATCCACAGGTCTTGGAGCAGCTGGGACTCAGGGCTTTGTTCAGTCCATTGTGACAATGGGAGAGTTTGCAGGTATTGGGTCCAGGTCTAGGCTGGAATCTCGATCAGGTCTGGCATCAAGGGTATTCAGAAGAGAGTGAAGGATATTGGTTTCCAGCCAGACAGGTTTAAGTCTGTGTCCACATTAGTGTTCATCACCAAGGAGGAATCTGATTCCCATTGAAGCCAATGGGACGTTTCAGTGCAACATTGGTTGACCCATCTACCCAGTGTTCTGCCTCCATGCTCAGCCAGCTGCCCAAATGGCAGCACGGTGCCATAGCTGCCCTGACTCCCAATAGTTTACCTGCTGGACTGAGGCAGTGGGAGTGAGATCTAGCCAGGTCCAGGCAGGACAATGCTGCAAAGGCTTCTACAGGCACCATTTCTCCTCCAAGGCAATGGATGACTGACTGTCTCCCTTACCCTCTGCTTCATCTCATTCTCTTTCACAGACAGAGCCGCTGGATGTGTCCACAGTCATCGACAATGAGCTGGAGGTTCCCGTCAGCGGAGGGCCTAGCGGGGACTTCGAAATCCATGAGGAGGAGGACACCACTCGGCCGGAGCTCAATAATGAAGTGATCCCTGCTGTTACCTTGGCAGCGGGGCCGGGACTGGGGAAGAATGCAGAGCCCGGCCTCATAGACAATACGATAGACTCTGGGAATTCAGCTGCGCAGCTGCCTCAGAAGAACATCCTCGAGAGGAAAGAAGTGCTAATAGGTGAGGCCCGTGTCCCCTGGTAACTCTGCCCCAAACCGAGACTGCCCCCGTATCTGCAGCCTAGAGCAGGTGATGGTGGGATTCTCCTTGGACTTAGAAACCTGCATCCCATGTAGACAGGTCCTTGCACATGCTCTACCAGCTTGTTCCCCCAAAGCAGCCTGGCATCTCTCCCCTTTTCTGGATTGTCCCCCCATACTGTACTGAAGGGACACATGAGAGCTGTAAAAGTTCTTCTTCCCTACTCAGCATGATAGAGGACAGCCCTAGCAGGGCTTGCACAGCTTCCCTTGCAACCACTGTGGACAACTTTCCATACTCAGGGTTTCGGTCTCTCACCAAAAAACTGACAAAACTGCTCAAATTTCCACTTGGTTGAAAAAAGTGATTTTCTGTCGAAGAGGATGTTTTGATGGACAATGTGTAGCCAGCTCATGTCTTGGCTCATTGGCTCTGTGCTGTCAAACTGCCTAGTCTGTGGTGTTTGCTTTATTGCGTGACTCTCAGGCAATGTCTTCCCTGGCAGTGTTCAGTGGCTGCCTCTGTCACTCTCCCACGGGCTCCCACTTGCCTACCCTAGAACATAATGGCCGACAACTCGATCTTGTTTGACTTGGTGGTAATGTCAGGGCTGCTACATGGGCTGGGTGCTGAGGTGTTGGGCAAGGCACCTGTGGGTATATGGGGCATTGGCTAAGTCAAGCAGATGGCACCAGGTCTACCTACACCTCCACTCTGCACTTGGGAATCAGAAGCCCATAGACTGACACTCCCCTCCCAGTTAGCAAGCCTGGTACTGAGGGCATCCCCAAGCCAGGAACCCAGGCTGACACAGTGACATCTCCCACCCTGGTATCCAGTCCGTTACTATAGATGAAGAGTGCTTTCTGTGACCCATAAGAATAGGGTATGTATTATGGTGTATAACTCTGTGGGCTTGATACAATTATTGTTGTTACACTGCCAAGTGACTTGCTTCAAAGAGTGGCTTTTAGCAGGCTTTTCCCAAGATGAAATTGCTCCCTGGGCTAAGAACCAGTACATATTTTTGCCATACGTAATCCTATAGGCTGGCTTGCAATCTGAGTGATGCACATCTTGCTGCTGATATGAATGTCACCCTTAACACTCGGCTGTAAAGCCAGTTATGAAAGAATCAGTCTCCTGAGCCTGCGGGTGTTTGGAGAGCTTCTCAAAGCCCCAGCGCCTGGAGTCATGTGATTCTCTATTCTGCTAAATAGAGCCTCCATTTTTGTCAAACTAGAAGAGAGTTTCTAGACTTCCTCAAAACATGACTCTGCAGGGCTCAAGAACCAATAAATAAATGAAATAAGTCTTAAGTGGTCATTTTTAAGAATGATATTGCTGTTTTGGAGGTTTTAATGGTGATCCTTGACTACATGGGGATGGCAACATGTTTTCTGGACAGCAGCCCTGCTGCCGGGGTTTAGGCTACCTCCCTAACCACTGCTTTCCTGTGCTCTGTTGCAGCTGTCATTGTGGGAGGGGTAGTCGGGGCGCTCTTTGCCGCCTTCCTCGTCATGTTGCTCATCTACCGGATGAAGAAGAAGGACGAAGGGAGCTACACGCTGGAGGAGCCAAAGCAGGCGAATGTCACGTACCAAAAACCCGACAAGCAGGAGGAGTTTTATGCATAAAAAGAACCCAGAGTGCCTCTCTCTCTCTCTCTTTCTCCCTCTCACTTTCTAGTTCAACCTTCCTATCTCTCTCCCTCTCTCTCCCTTTCTCTCTAGCTCATCCAATCTCTTGCTCTCTTTCTGATCGGACTGTGAGTTTAAAAAAAAAAATCACACACGCAACAACTAAAAAGAAAAGGAAAAAAAATCTTCCATATAAAATAAATAAATACTAAATAAATGTGTCACAGATTTGAGATGAATCCCATTAACCTTCCTCCAGCGGAAGAAGCATTCACAGGGACCACAGCACGAGGAGCGAGCGGTCAGCTAACCTGTGCCTATGGGACAGTTCCTTGG